CAACAGGTTTCCATTACCTGATGCTGTAGCCAAGATGCTGCCTGGGAAAGACAACAGGTAGGTCCTGCCTTAGCCCGTGGGCTCTGCAGAACAGTAGCAGATATTCTTAACAACTGTGTTGCTAACTTAACAACTGCAGTGATTCGCTTAACAATTACGGCAAGGAAGGTCATAAAATGGGGCAAAATGCAATGAACAAACGTGCCACTTAGCAACAGAAGTTTCGGGCTCCCTTGTGGTCGTAAGCCAAGGACCGCCTGTACAGCATTTACAGTTTCACATTGCACAAAACTATACCAGGTGTGCAACGCGCCATGCATACATGTTGAAAATTGCTTGCCAAAAACTTATGCTAGGGAATGCAACAACAATTAATTGACTATTTAATGTGTATGTGTTAGCAGGAATGGTACCGAAATACGGATCTTTATGCAGCTTTTCCCCCCCTTCTGTTTTGCAAGCTGCTAAAGAAACAGATCAAAATAAACATACGAAAAAGAAAAGAAAAACCTAAATTAAATTTTTTTTTGCTAATTTTTCAGGCCAGTCATTGAAGAGATCCAGGATCTGGTAAGGCAAATATAATTAGAAATAATAATAATCCTTCATCAATCATTATTATTTAACGTATTACAACATTTCGCTCTTCCTTCCGTCCTTTTTAATCTTTGGGGAGGGTTTTTTTTTTTTTTTTTTTTTTTTGCGCTTTTGAGATGTTGATCAGCATAACAAAACGGGCTTCCCTCGATTTTACAATCCATCAAAAATGTCTGCCCCTTTTTCACGGCTGCCACGAGCAAGCTACAAAACGCTTTTCAGAAAGGAGGAGGAGAAAAGCAAAACACTTGACAAAACTAATCCTTTCCCTCCGACTTAAAGGCACTGCCGAGCTGATTAATAGCCGGGTTCTAATCCTGCTGTGTGTCTCGCCCTTGGCATTTGTAAAACTATCAGAGAATCACTTGAAATATTTTTTTAAAAAACTGGAATAAGATATAAAATGCTGCCCTCTGTAGCAAGGAAGTAACTTAGCAGAAGGGATCCAGCAGGTTGGTAAAAAAAAACCAAACCAGAATAACAGAGTTGGAAGGGATCTTGGAGGTCATCTAGCCCAACCCCCTGCTCAAGTAGGAAATCCTATACCAGTGATAGCGAACCTTTTAGAGACCGAGTGCCCAAACTGCAACCCCAAACCCACTTATGTATCGTCGGGTGCTGGGTGGGCGTGGCCCATTGGCTGGGTGTGGCCCATTGGGTGGGTGTAGCCAATTGGGTGGGCATGCCCCATTGGGTGGGCATGGCTGCAGTGGTTACAGAAGACTGGGTGGGACTAAAACGTTCAATCAATCAATTTTCAACTTCGTGAGATCTTTTTTTTCCCTGCGAGAAGTTAAAATTGATTGATTGATTGATTGAACCTTTTTTTTTGCACTCGGCGGTGGAGGCCTAAAGCGAAAAGGTTTTATAAAACCCAGCTGAAGGCCTAGGACTGGGGCGACGGCGCGGGTGCCCACAGAGAGGGCTCTGCGTGCTGCCTGTGGCACGCATGCCATAGGCTCGCCACCACGGTCCTATACCATTTCAGATCAATGGTTGTCCAGTCTCTTCTTGAAAACCTCCAGTGTTGGAGCACACACACACACACACACACAAAAGATCTCAAAGCACTGAAAAGCAAGTTTGACTCAGTTAAGTAGAAAGGCTGTGAAGGAAAGTGAGAAAGAAAGAGTGGAAAAGCCAAAAGAGAAGAATTCAAACGAACCACTCTTGGCTGGAGTAGATATGATCAGCTTTGTTTATTGTCAGGGTTGTCCACAAAATGTGCTCAAAACATCAAGATGATGTCCACAACTGTGAAATCAAAGCTGAGAATAGAATAGAATAGAATAGAATAGAATAGAATAGAATAGAATAGAATAGAATAGAATAGAATAGAGAAGGGAATGGAATGGAATGGAATAGAATAGAATAGAATAGAATAGAATAGAATAGAATAGAATAGAATAGAATAGAATAGAATAGAATAGAATAGAATAGAATAGAATACAGAAGAGAAGAGAATGGAATAGAATAGAATAGAATAGAATAGAATAGAATAGAATAGAATAAATAGAATAGATTAGAACGCAGAAGAGAATAGAATGCAGAATAGAATAGAATAGAAGAGAAGAGAATACAGAATAGAATAGAATAGAATAGAATAAGGAATACAATGGAGATGGAATAGAAGAGAGATGGAATAAAGTAGAGTAGAATAGGATAGGATAAGATAGGATAGGATAGAAGAGAAGAGAAGAGAAGAGAAGAGAAGAGAAGAGAAGAGAAGAGAAAATGCTTTATTTGGCCAAGTGTGATCAGACACACAAGGAATTTGTCTTGGGTGCAGAAGCTCTCAGTGTACATGCAAAACAACAGAGTAATAATAATCATAATAATGATACCAATAAGAGGGGTCATAGAGAAGATGAGAATAATAATACTACAGCCAGAAAACATGGATAAATATACAGTACTTAGACGTAAGACGGTACTCTGCGTTCTTTACTCAGACTGAAAAGAAGGGAATGAAAGAACAGAGGCCTTCAAACAATTGTCCCATAAGGAGTATTTCAATAGCAAATTGCACAGAAAACCACACGATTCATTTGACTCTAATTTTCTCCTCTGGGGTGAAAGGAATTTTGTGTCTCTTGCTATCGATAGCTTCTCTATTTGAGCCATTTCAAAATCCACTAGTTGAGGCACCTGTCAAGCTGCTTAACCTTCCCCCAAGCCTTGCAAACATTGGGGTGTCCTTGTCTGTTTCCCATCTTCCCAGCTGATGGTCACTGTTCAGCAGAGCCACATGGTCCTGGACCAAAAAATGAAAAAAAAAAAAAGGGTTAGATCCATGACATATATCTCTTGACAGCCAGTCAGGGACAAGGCTGTGCCAACGTCAACAACATTCTGTACATGCGTCAGCTTCTCTCTGGAAGACACCCAGGAAGATTGTTGGGATGCTCAAGCCTTGTGCCAGCTTGACTGGGGTGACACTGCACCCAACCATCTCCTGCGGCTCACCCTGTGTCCGAAAGAGCAGGAAAGGAGGCATCACTCCCATAAATTCCAGGAAATCAGTCTCCTTGGTCTTTAAACAAATAAACCAGCCTTATCTCTTGATGTCCTGTTGAAGGCTCGGGCAAGGTCGAGACTGGAGAAGGTCACCAGCCTGGTCCAGGGAGAGGTCTCCACGGCCTCACAGCTGTTCTTCTACAAGGCTGTAGCATCAGCCAAAAAGTCACAAACTCTTGAAGGATGTTGGTTGACTTTATGTTCAGCTCAAGGCAATTTTTAGAGGCTTTCGTTCAGCCACCGCAGTAAACTGAACTTTGGCAGTGTTCTTCTCATGTGCTGCCTCCTTCCCCAAAAAAACCTCGCCAGAAAAACTCCATTGCAGAATAATTTCGGGCAACAGTGAATTTCCAGTGAGAAATGAATCTGCGCTCAGAAGCAAAGTTTGCATGTTTATGCTCTTAGCACGGAGGGAACACTATGCTATCTACTCTGGATTTAAACGCACGTTTAAGGATTAAATTAATTTCATATTGCTATCAATAGTTAATTAGATGGCACTTTTTTTCCTTTTGTTCATGCTGTTAATTTGTCCCTTCCTTCTTTATTTTCTTCCTTCCTCCCTTTCTCCATCTTCCTTCCTTCCTTCCTTCCTTCCTTCCTTCCTTCCTTCCTTCTTCTCTCTCCTTCCGTCCTTCTCTTCTCCTTTCCTCCCTCCCTCCCATTTTTCTCTCTCCTTCCTTCCTTCATTCCTTCCTTTCTTTCTTCCTTCTTTCCTTTTCTTCTTTCCTTCCTCTCTCTCATCTTCCTTCCTTCCTTCTTCTCTTTCCTTCCGTCCTTCTTTCCTCCCTCCCTCCCATTTTCTCTCTCTCCTTCCTTTCTTCCTTCTTTCCTACTTTTCTTCTTTCCTTCCTCTCTCTGTCCATCTTCCTTCCTTCCTTCTTCTCTCTCCTTCCTTCCTTCCGTCCTTCTTTCCTCCCTCCCTCCCATTTTTTCTCTCTCTCCTTCCTTCCTTCCTTTCTTCCTTCTTTCCTCCTCATCTTCCTTCCTTCCTTCCTTCCTTCCTTCCTTCTTTCCTTCCTTAGGAAATAGACAATTACCGCACAGCCATGAAAAAAATGGCGGATGACATCGTGTCTTTGCGCCAACATATTTCCACACTGGAGAGGGAAAACAGTGCGTTGAGACGCAACCTTGCCTTGCATGAAGATATTGGGCGCGCTCTTCTCCAGGACATTGATCTGGATGTTATGACCAAGGCAGAAATAGTCGACAGAATATGTAAGAGAATTGTCTTCTCCTTTTCTGCCCATTCAGAAAATGGGGGTGGGAGGGTCTGCTTAAAAGGAAAGGAACGAGAGCAACTCAGAAGTCTTCATTTTCTTTGAAAATGTGTCTCACATCCATCCAGGCCATGGAGGCCTCCCTGCAAAAGTTAATGTTGGATAGCTAAATGGCAAGATTGCCACATGTCATCCCATCACTGCCATCATTGGGTTGGGAGAAGAACTCTGACTACCTTCACTGGAGTTTTTGCCTTTTGTTGTTGTTGTTGTTCTCAGTGGTCCTCAAGCAAAAATTATCTTCTGGGGCTCGGGAGATGGCCAGGATGAAGGATCGGATACAAAGACTGCAAAACGAATTGATTCGGGTAAAGTGTTCCTGGAATTCCCTTTTGCTGCGTCTTTTATTGGTCTGGCCTTCTTGACTGCTTGACAGGACAACGAAGTCTTCATTTATTGATCCTTTTTGTCCCCAATCTAGGCTGCTGAATTAGTTCTGGCCCTCCCAGACTGAGAAATTTCTCTCCTCTCGCTTTATTTTTTTTCTTCCCGCAGAAAAATGACCGAGAAAAAGACTTGGTGATGTTGCAGAAAGCTCACCAACAACAGCAGATGGTACTTCGAAAATATCAAGCCAAGATCGCCAGGATGCAAACTCTTGAGGATGCCGTCAAACAGCAGGAAAAGGTGTAGGGATACTCTGGTACCTTCAAGGGGGGGGTGGTCCTTAAGGGGCCTTTCCCTGGACAGTCATGCTCATCCGTTTCCACAAAAGGTAATCGAGAGGATGGAGAGGATGCTGGAAGGGAAGGTGAAGGAACGGATCAAAGAAGCCTCATTCGGGGAGTTATCCAAAACGGCTGGTAAGTAAAGCCACAAGTACAGCAGGTCTTCTGTTACTCCTTCCCAGGAGATTTGGCTGCCATCCTGAACGAGATGGTTGAGTCACCCATTTCTGCTCCCAAGTAGAGAAGAGATTCTTGGTACTTACGAAGCTCTTTCCTTCTCTCTCTTTTTTTTGTTGTTGTTGATGATGATCATCCCATACCTGACCTGTTCTCAGGTGACAATTGGACCAAAGATGTCTACTCCACCCTATTGATGGAGAACATGAGGCTACGGGATGAACTGGGGAAATCTTCTTTTCGTTCACCCATCATATTGCAACAGCAAGCATTACCAGTAAGACTCAATAACCATTTCTCTTTTTCCTCTCCTTTCCTCTCTTCCCTTTTCTTACCTATTTATATGTATATCCATCCATCCATCCATCCATCCATCCATCCCTCCCTTCCTTCCATCCATCCATCCATCCATCCATCCATCCATCCATCCATCCATCTCTTTATCTGCTCTGTCATCTCTATGTATCACTCGACAAGTATCTTCTATTTCTTCCCTCTCCCACTTCTGTCTGTCTACGTGTAGGTCTGTCTAACCTTCTAATTATCTATGTCCCTAACTGTCCCATGTATCAACTGCCTGTCTTCATTTGATGGTGCCCCTGATGGGTCTGAGCCAAAAGGCAGTCATACAGAATAACAGAACAAGGTTGGAAGGGACCTTGGAGGTCTTCTAGCCCAACTTCCTCCCTCAAGCAGGAGACTCTCTACCATTCCAGACAAATTGTTGTCTAATCTTTTCTTAAAAACCTCCAGTGTTGGAGCATCCACAACTTCTAGTCTCCAATGGAGACTTTTCCCACCAGCTGATTCCTTTAACCGAATAGATGGGCCCTTTGTAACCCCAAACCACACGAGTCTTTATTTGTATTTCTTGACTTTCTCCTCCATCTGTGAACAACAAACCCTTATTGATGTTTCCCCCAGGACACATTTTCATCCAGCTCAGAAAAGCTCTCGTTGATTTCAAAGCTGGAGAAGGCTGAGGCACGCATCCTTGCCTTGGAACACCAGGTAATTGTCATCTCACTGGCACGAAGTTTTGGGATGATCCCTCCCCAGATGTTCCTTGGAATCCAGAATGAAATCCAGCCCCTCTTCATCTGTGTTCAGACAGAGCAGCGTTTCTCAACATCAGCAACTTTAGGATTGCGGGGATTTCAATTCCTAGAAGTCTTTGCTGACTAGGGAATTCTGGGAGTTGAAGTCCACCCATGTTAAAATTGTTGACATGGAGAAGTACTGAAACAGAGCATTGATGTATAACTGGTACTAACTCTTACTGTCTTCGCTTTATGGTTCATAGCTAAATTCTGCCTGGCAAAGCTCAGAGGTAAATTCAAAAAGTGTGGTTTTTAAAACAAAAATGAGTTCTTCTAAGTTTGGGCACTTGGCCAATGCTGATGATAGCTTATTTGTTCATTAGATTTATATCCTGCCTTTATTTGGACAGCTTGCCAGCAATGTTCATAATTCTATTCCTCCTATTTCCCCTACCCCCGATAACAATTTTGTGAGGTGGGTTGTGCTGTGAAGAGATGAGGGAAGGCCAGATCTCACCATCTCTCAATTCCTTGTCCAGCTCCTTAACCTAGTTCTGGTGGTCAACCATCAAAGGCTAAAGCATCTGCTGTATGTCACAATTGAGGCTCTAAGCCTGTAAGCATTTCTCTTCTTTGGTACAGCTGGTGGACTCTGCCAAGAGTTGGGGGCGAGACAAGCAGAATTACAACACTCGTCAGCTTGAAAATGACCTTGGATTTGACCGATCGCCATCCTCGTTTATAGTTCATGATATTTTTCCGGTGAGCAATGGACACAAACAACAGAAACAGACCAGGAGGGAAGGCCAAATAAAACTTCTAGGTGACTTCAGTGGTGGTACCCATGTGTAGAACCATCCAAGATGGTTTGCTTCTTTAGGTGAAGCATCGTTTCACATTGAAGTCAACCAAAGAGGGAACTGAACCTTCCTCCAGCATTAGGGATGGGACAGTGTCCATCACTGCAGCAGAATAACAGAATTGGAAGGGACCTTGGAGGTCTTCTAGTTCAACTCCTGCTCAAGCAGGAGACCCTCTACCAATCCAGACAAGTGGCTGTCCAGTCTCTTCTTAAAACCTCCAGTGATGATGGAGCACCCACAACTTTTGAAGGCAAGCCATTCCACTGGTTAACTGTCCTGACTGTCAGGAAATTTCTCCTTAGTTCTAAGTTGCTTCTCTCCTTGACTAGTTTCCATCCATTGTTTCTCGTCTTGCCTTCTGGTGCTTTGGAGAATAGGTTGACCCTCCTCTTCTTTGTGGCAGCCCCTCAAATATTGGACCACTGCTATCATGTTGCCCCTAGTCCTTCTTTTCACTAGATTAGACATGCCCAGTTCCTGCAACTGTTCGTCATATGTTGCATATGTTGCACAACCTCCAAACATCTATTCTTCAGGGTTAGGACAAAATTTCTAAGAATTTGGAAACGGAGACCAGCTTTTGATCTGAAGGAGAACCTTTGTTCTTTACCCTTTCACAAGTCTCCCCTTCATCCACAGGACGAGAAGGAAAGGAGAGCGGATGAAGAGGAGAAGTACAAAAAATCAGGGAACGTCATACAAAAGTAGCTCGTCAAGGGGCTGAATCTCCTTAGAGGTCAGTGTTAATTCTTAGCCACAGTTGTAAGCCAAGATTGCACAGCTTTGGTTGGGGGTGGGGGAGGGCTGTAGGCCACATTGGTCCTTTCAGGAATGCCTTGTAGACCAAACTTCCAAAAATGGAAGAATCAGGACAAAACTTGAGGCAAAAAATGTTGTCGTGTATTCTTTTTTTTTAAAAAAAAAAACCATCAGTGGAGATAGATGACAAGTGATTAATCTCTGTGTTGATAAAGGTTGTTGGTGGAAATGAATATCCCAAAATATCCTTGTTTTGTGTCTGAGGTTTCTCTGAATCACATTGCTCTTTCTTTGCGGGGGGGTTGTTTTAAAAAAAATTAACCTTATTGAACCCTACCACCTTGTTCTACTAAGGGGAAGTACTTTTTAACAGTCCCTCTCTTTCCAATTTCTCAGAATAAAACCATATCTAGTTTCAAATGGGGGCTCCCAATTTCCCCACAACTGGTATTTGCTTTTTTCTCTTCCATTGATGATGGAAAATTACCGTCCTTGTCAAACACAATCAGTCTGAGGGGCTACCATGCAGAAAGATGGACCCTCCACAGCAGATGTCTTCAAACGTGGCCCTTTTATGACTTGTGGACTTCAACTCCCAGAATTGGAGAATGGCTGAGGAATTCTGGGAATTGAAGTCCACAAGTCATAAAAGGGCCAAGTTTGAAGACCCCTGCTCCACAGCCTTTCTGGGGGGAAAAGTTGTAGGCCATGCTGGAGTAGTTGCACTATTGCTATTCCTGACAAGGAGAAAGAGGCTGGCATTTTCCTACCATCAGAACTGGTTTGTTGAGATACAGCCAATCCTAGGTGTGTCTTGAACCTCAGCCAATGAGTGGGAGTCACTTCAGTGGGGGGAAAAACCTCCCTGCAACCACTTTTTTGGTGGTTGAATAGAGTCAGCATGTCTTCAGCTCAGCCTGCTTTCACTACATTGCCATGAAGTTAGACCTGGGTCAAAGGCAGTCCACACCCAATGATGGGGGTCTTCAAACTTGGCCCTTTTATGACTTGTGGACCTCAACTCCCAGAAGCCCACAAATCATAAAAGGGCCATGTTTGAAGACCCCTGCCCAATGACATAGGATGTTTGGGTTGGGTCAACTGGTCCCCAGAGGGGAAGGACGAGGCAACCGTGAATTGTGTTCTGACGCCGCTTCTTCCATCCTTCCTAGAAACCGCATTAAATTAACACAACTCAAGAGCCATTGGAATCCACCGCCTTTGACTTAAGTCTGGGAAGAAACTCTGGAATTCTACCTGCTGCAGCAGAACAAAATCTCTATCGCGAAATATATACCGTTATATACCTCTTTCCTGGAGAGATGAGCTGAATACAGACTTCTCTGTAAAACTACCTTATAGTCTTGGTGCCTGTTATGTAAATTTTGTACGGTACCTAAGGCGTCTCAGCCTTTTGAGTTTGTAATGGTAGGTGAGTTTGTGCCTTGGGAGAGAGGACGAAGAGCAGTTGGCCAGGCAGCTGATTATACTGCAGGAAAGTGACTGTTTAACCTCTCAGAAGAGACCCTCCCTAATATCTTGGACTATAAAGGGGTGAGGGAGAGAGATATACTTTCAGACTTCCAAGATTCTATTCATGCAACCTTACCTCAAAGCTAGAGATTCTGGGTGTCATGTGAGCTGGTTTTTCCCTCTAGTTCTATTCTCATTTATCTGCATTCTTAGCCAACGGTTAAGTCAATGGTTCTGTTTTAAAAAGTGAGTCCGTAGCAGTCATCTTTCGCTGACTGTTATTATGACCTTAGTTTTCTGACTTGGCTATAGAACGCTCAATTTCAAATCCTGGTTGGAAACAAATTGTAGAGAAGGTCTGGCCATCTAACTGTGGTTACTTTAAAACTAGGACTCCGCCATTATTTCCTATGTTGGCTTACGTTTTCAGGGTGGTCTGTCTTTCAGGAAAATCTGCTAGAGGCACCCAATGTGGTGGTTCATCAGAAGACTCAGAAGAAGGAAAAGAACTTTATTTCATCCAGCACACATAATTCATATATAATCACTCAGAAGATTGTAATGGCCGTGACAAAGATATCATTAATAAAGGACTAGAGAAATGGACAGAGAAGAGGTCAACCAAAAGATGTAGCCTCTGTCTTCAGAAGTAGCCTTGGCCAAAAGAAGAAATCAAGAGTTGAGAGAACCTATAAATGTCATATCTTCTTTGAAAACTTCCCAGAGGGAATCTGGTTGGACATTGTGGAAAACATAAAGATGGAAGAGATGCAACATTGGTCCAGCTAGAAAATACTCCCATCCAATGAGAAGGAATCTTCTTAAACCTAATAATATTAAGCCTAGTAGAGTGCTCTGTGTACACGAAGATCTGGGCAGGAGAGCCTTCTTTTTTTCTTATCTAAATTGTATTATATGAGATAAAAAACAAGACCGAAAGCCAGAACATCCTGTGCCCCAACCTTGGTTTGATTTCTATGTTTAGTAAACATCGGACATTGGGAACACCATTGGACTGTGATCCTAAGAGCTTGGTAGGCAACCCTTCTCCAAGTGTTTTGAAAGAGGCACCAGGTGCCTTTGGAGAATTTCACCCAGTTCATTAATGGGAATGATGAGGCCGTAACGTCAGATGGATTGGTTTGTCTGGAATCAGGATAAGGCCAAAAGTGGTACCAACCTCCACGCCTCTCTTTATTTCGATCTTGAATTTTTCCAGCATCTGAGGGAGAAGAAGGGGGAAAAACAAGAGGAAGTCACACATCCCTACGTAGCAAGGGATTGGCCAGAGTGTCACCTGAGCTCTTGAGCTTGGTTGTTTTCTTGTAGAGGTTTCATGAACTGAATAGGTAACATCATCATTGCTAGAAAGAAGTGAAGGGAGGAGGAGGAGGAGGAGGAGGAGGAGGAGGAGGAGGAATGCTGTGGGGTCCTTGGTGCTCTCTGACCTTGATTGTTTTCTTCAAGACATTTCATGACCCAACTAGATAACAGCATCAATGCACTGATGATGTTACCTAGTTGGGTAATAAAACATCTGCAAGAAAACAACCAAGCTCGGAGAGCACCAGGGACCCCACGGTTCCATCCTGAGCTAAAGAAATGTTCTCTTCTATCGTCAAGTCACCAGATTTGGCCCTGATCTGCCAAGTCATGATTCTTACTCAATCTTCTAAAGTGGTAGCTGAGGACTTTCCCAGACATATATGTGTGTAAGACAAAGGACCAGCCCACCCTCTCCGTATTTCTCCAGCCTGTCTTCCATTAGGAGTCGGTGACAGAACAGGACTCACATGGATCAAAAACAGCTGCATCTCCATCTCGGCAATTCTGCGGCCAAGACACTGACGTGGCCCAAAGCCGAAACTTAATGCTCTGAAATATTTGGACTCCTCAGTCTTAATCCACCTTTCTGGGTTGAACTGCAGAGGTTTGGAGAAAAATCTGGAATCCCGAAACATGGCATAAAGTCCCACCTGGACTAATGTCTGTGAACAAAAGATGGGAAGGAAAAGGCAATAAATCAAGAGTTGATGACTTGTATCTAGACTAGATTAAAAACAGTATCAGCAAGAATGACTTCCAGCAACTTCTAGATGTCTTCAACCATCCTTGGGCCAGCGTGCTATTAATGAGGACAAGCTTTGTCTCACCACCACAATAGGTCAGGTGATGCTAGAAGACAACACAAGTCACCAATGGGAGGATGGTCTCAAACCAATATACATATATTCATGTAAGTATGGAATAATGTGCTGCACTGCTTCAGAGTGTGGAATGCTCCTTGTGCAATCTCAAGTGAATTTCTTCACCAACTTCAGAACTTTGGAGACAAGGGAGAATTTGAAAATTGTTAAAAACCACCACCATCATCATTATCAGCAGTGCTGATTACTCACATTGGCAGGGATACAGTAATTTTGAAGGACAATCTCTTGTGTGGTGTATCTCTGTAACGTCACTGCAACTGGATGGAGCCTGGGTTGAAACCAGAGGAAGAAGAGAGATCTTTTATAATCTAAAAAATTATTTTTCCATCCTAATCTAACCTAGCATTAAACAACAATTATAAACTACTAGACAAGCTGTGGCCCTTTGGGATATGGTTTCCGAGACATTGCCTGACCAGATTCCTCAACCTCTTCAATGATTCCTTCTAATGTACTGGAAAAATGTTTAAAAATTCAGGGACGTATTCCGAGATGAACATGTCTCGAAAGTAGCCCGCGTTGAGCTGTGTAGACATCAGGAGTTGACCACGGGAAATATTCTTTTTGACATTTTGTACCTTAGTGTTTCTTTGATGGCTGCTTTGATCAACGGGATCGACTTCATCATCTTCACGACGTCTCCCTGGGAAGATGCTCTGGCTGCGGAGATTTCGGATCTCAGTTGCTCCTGAAGGTGTGGTGCCCGAGCGAGTTCATACAGAGCCCACTGGAGGGTGATGGAAGTCTGAATGAAAATAGATCGACCCATGAGTGCCTTCTTAAGTGGGTCTTCTCAGCCACCCCTGCAAAAATGTGTGTGCTTTCCTTAATGCAGGGCTGTCCAAACTTGTGGACTGGCTGGGGAATTCTGAGAGTTGAAGTCCACAAGTCTTAAAGTTGTCCAGTTTGGAGAGCCCTGTACAAGACTCAAGGTTTCTAACTGGACTGGAGTATCTCTGGACATTCTTAATGTTTTAGGTCCACCAATTTATCGAGGTAGAGTGGCTACCTCTTTAATTTAGCTCAGACAGAGGAAGAGAGGTTTGAAGTGGCTGGAGATATGGAATTAAAGAAACCATCAGTGAGCAGAGGAATGGTCTGAATGGTTTTAATGACCAGAAGAATGCAAAGATCACTGATTCCTCAAAGAGTCTTGTAAAAACATTGAATAGAATCAAAGAAACCATTTGAAGGGGACATCATGAACCTGTCAAGGTCTCGCCTTACCGTGTCCACCCCTCCTGCCATCATCTCAGTTATGCTGGCTTTGATGTCTTCTATTGGCATCTTGTTCTGCATCAAAAGACTACAGAGAATGCCTCGGTACTCTTTGGCATGCTTCTGGTTGAAACAGAGGTCTTGGTAGATGTTCTGTATACATTTGTCAGCTGGTGAGATAGAGACATCGTGGTAGACATACAAATAAATACAATACAATTTTATTGAAACAAGAACATCACCGTGGAAGCTTCCTCACCAAGTTCTCACCAGACTATCAACTTTCTATCCTGTCACTGGGTGAAGGTTCACACAACCACCACAGGTCCACTCACCATGCATGAAGATGACATCCCAAGCGTTGACGTGATCCTGCCAAAACTTGGAATTGATCCTGCGTAGAAATTCTGGTGGTATGTACAACATGGGTGCAGTGGAATTAAACATCAAGGTGATGGCATCAATGAATTTCTGTGACTCGGGGTCAATGAAATCCTGAAGAAGTCCCAACCGGGTGCCGTAGAGGACATTGCATACAGCTGTGGGAAGACAGAGGCGGAGAAGATGGATGAAGATGAGGGTGCAGATGGATGAAGATATCAAAGCCCTGTCTCCCACAGGGGCAGAGATGACCTTCTAATGAAATTGGAATTGGGTATGTCTAGTTTAACGAAGAGAAGGACGAGGGGGGACATGATAGCAGTGTTCCAATATCTTAGGGGCTGCCCCAAAGAAGAGGGAGTCAAGCTATTCTCCAAAGCACCTGAAGGCAGGACAAGAAGCAACGGGTGGAAACTAACCAAAGAGAGAAGCAACCTAGAACTAAGGAGAAACTTCCTGACAGTTAGAACAATTAACCAATGGAACAACCTGCCTCCAGAAGCGGTGAATGCGCCAACACTGGAAGTTTTTAAGAAGAGACTGGACAGCCATTTGTCCGAAATGGTATAGGGTTTCCTGCCTGAGCAGGAGGTTGGACTAGATGACCTCCGAGGTCCCTTCCAACTTTATCATTATGATTATTATTAATGAATTTGCTGCATATCACATCTGTTCCTGTGGGGTCCTTGATGCTCTCTGAGCTTGGTTGTTTTCTAGCAGACGGTTCATTACCCAACTTGATCACTTCATCACCAGTGATACTGTTACCTAGTTAGATAATGAAACATCTGCAAGAAAACATCCCAGCTCAGAGGGGGCCAAGCACCCAACAGTTCAACCCTGAGCTACAAATTCCCTTCTATCAATGCTTCTGCTCCTCAAGAAGTGGGTGGTTCTGTTCCTTCTGACCCAGATTACTGAATTAGTGCATTTTCTGAGTTTGCACACTCTTTATGGACTTGCACACTCCACTAAACCTTAAAAGAAAGTCAATGGGCTATTTTGCAGGTCCAGCAAAGTACCCTCCCCAAGGCCTACCAACAGAGCTAAGCTAAAATTAAAATGACCCAAGCTGTAGTCTGTTGAGGAGAAAAAAGTACATGGTTGCCTAATTCTTGAGCCCCCCCTCCCTCCACCCATCCCAATCCAACTCCTTCCCTTCCACTCACATTCCAAGGCAAACCGGAAAAGCTCGTGGGTGAGGTCAGTTGTCCATTTATCTTGAGGGCTGCTTCCAACCTTTATCTCCATCCGCTTGACAAAATCCTCCCCCACTTCGTTCAGGAGAGGTATGAAGTTATCCGTGACTTTGAGGGACATGGCTTCCTTGTTCAGGGCGAGGCGGTCCTGGCGCCAGCTGTCTCCTTTCCTAGAAATTACAAAAAACAAGTAATTCCAAGGTTGTTTCTTCATTTCTCCAATTTGTCAGCTCTTTTTTGACCTTTGGGGGGGCGGTCCCCCCCATTTGCATTAAATCACAAGGGGGAATTCTTTATGGCACACTTTTCAGAGAGGGGCAGCTGAGCAGCCAAGGGAAGCGTAGCAAGAGGCAACTGATCAAAACCCTCAACTACAATCAAGTCAGCTCATCGGTGGCCAAAGAAATTCTAAAGCAGGGGTCTTCAAACGTGGCCCTTTTATGACTTGTGGACTTCAACTCCCAGAATTCCTCAGCCAGGCACGTGTGCCTGGCTGAGGAATTCTGGGAGTTGAAGTCCACAAGTCATAAAAGGGCCATGTTTGAAGACCCCTGTTCTAAAGGAAATTGAAGAAGAAATGGAGAAATAAAACACTCTCCCCCCCTCCTCCCCATGACAAAATAACCCTCGCGTTCAAGTGAGCTTCAGATTTCTCTTTTTCTGAAGGATCTCCAATCCCAACCCTTTGGTTCTGATGTGGGGTTCAGGCTCGGCGGCCATTGTCTCATCACAAAACCTCTGGGCCCGTCCTACCGCATCTCGGGGGGCTTCTTACTTGAGGAGAACCCCGCAAGGCTTGTTACGGAAGTCCCGATAGGCGATCCAAGGGGGCACCGTGAATCTCTCCGGGTACAGCCCTTCGGATTTGAAGAGGATAGCGGCGTCCTTGGGATCAATGATGTTGATGCTCTCGTAGCTGCCCAGTTTCTCCCTGGGAAGACATGTCGGCATCTCATTTGGGGCATTAAAGGCGGGAAGGTGTCACAGGTGTGAAGTTATTTAAACTAAAATCCTGAGGCAGTCATGGGTGCCCAGTTTCCCCCAGCAATAGTGGCAGTATTGGGTTAAAGAATGGGAAAGAAATGATCTCCTCTGTGAGCTTGCAGACATTTCATTACCTAACTAGGTAACATCATCAGTGCTAGAAGGGAGTGGCGTTCATTCAGTGTAGGACAATGATGGCGAACCTTTTAGAGACCGAGTGCCCAAAAACCACCCCGCCCTGCCCGCCACCCTGTGCCCCGCCTGCCCGCAGGGCCACCCGCCTCCACGGCCCGCCGCAACAGATTGCCCAGGCGGCTCAGCAATGCCATGGTGGCCACATCCTCCACCCACACCCTGTAGCATCATCTGCGCATGATGGAGCGCGAGGGCGGAGTCTGGTCCCCGCTACCTGGCTGCCATGTCCTTGGCTGCGCTGCTCTGTGCGGGCTGTGCCCAGGGGCGACTCTCCTCTGGGGGGTGATGGTGAGGGGGCTGTCGGGGGAGGCAGGGCTGCGGCAAAGGCACACGTGCCCACAGAGAGGGCTCTGAGTGTCGCCTCTGGCACGCGTGCCATAGGTTCGCCACCACTGGTGTAGGAGAAGCAAAGGGAAGAGGAGGAGGAGGACAGCAGCAGGAGGAGGAGGAGCAGGATGGGGTCCTTGGTGCTCTCTGAGCTTGGCTGTTTTATTGCAGACTTTTCATTACCTAACTAGGTAACATCATCAGTGCTAGAAGGGAATGGCATTCATTTAGTGTAGGAGAAGCAAAGGGAGGAGGAGGAGGACAGCAGGAGGAGGACAAGAGGAAGAGATGGAGGAGGACAACTGTGGAGTCCTTAATGCTCTCTGAACTTGGTTGTTTTCTTGCAGACGTTTCATTACCTAACTAGGTAACATCATCAGTGCTAGAAGGGAGTGGGGTTCGCTGAGTGTAGGAGAAACAAAGGGAAGGGGAGGAGGAGGAGGAGGAGAAAGAGGAGGACTGTGGAGGATGCTCTCTGAGCTTGCTTATTTTCTTGCAGACGTTTCATTACCTAACTAGGTAACATCATCAGTGCTAGAAGGGAGAGGGGTGTGTGGAGAGGAGGAGGAGGAGGAGAAATAGGACTGTGGGGTCCTTGGTGTTCTCTGAGCTGGGTTGTTTTCTTGCAGACGTTTCATTACCTAACTAGGTAACATCATCAGTGCTAGAAGGGAGTGGCATTCACCGAGTGTAGGAGAAGCAAAGGGAGGAGGAAGAGGAGGAGGAGGAGGAGATGTTCAGTGAGATGTTTAAAAGAAATTGTCTGAACCGATCACTTTTAAAAGATCTTCACTGTTCATCTGGAAGGACAATCCCCTGATTTTCTGAATCATAATGTTAGTTTTAAACACTGTATTTCCCATTGCAATATCCTCTAGTGCAGTGGTTCTCAACCTGTGGGTCGGGACCCCATTTGGGGTCGATCGACCATTTCACGGGGGTCGCCAAGCAAGGCTGTCCGCCATTTTTTTTGTCTGCCATTTTTTTCCCCCTTTTCCGGCGGGTGCCTTACCTCCCTTGGGCTGGGCCAGCTGGTGGTCGGCCTGCTCCGTCTCTGCCGCTTGCCAGCTACGCCTCGGCCGGTGCAGGGGGCGGTACCACGCATGTGCGGCGCTCCCGGGCAGGGAAAGTCCTCAACTTACGACCGGTTGGGTAGTCCTCGACTTACGACCGGTTTAGTCCTCGACTTACGACCGGTTGGGGGTCGCGGCATTAAAAAGGTTGAGAACCACTGCTCTAGTGAAGACTAACAGGGTAATCAATAGAAGGGAATATGTGTAGATCCGGATTGAACTGTGGGATCCTCGGTTCTCTTTGAGCTTGATAGTTTTCTTGCAAACGTTTCACTACCCAACTAGGGAGCATCGGATGAAGTTACCTAGTTTGGGTAACGAAACATCTGCCAGAAAACCACCACATTCGGAGAGCACCAAGGACCCCACAGTAACAGAGGAGTGTTTGAAGCAAACGGAGGCCGATAGACAAAAAGAGATGAATGATTGCAAATTTTCAAGGGGGAACCTAGCCAGTAATTTAGTTCTAGGGAGAAAAAAAAACCCAGCGTCTATTAAACCTACAAACCATCTTGATCAAAGTGGGAGAGAGTATTTTACTTTGAGGAAGAAGGATGGAAAAAGTTTGGGAAAGGAATCAGAATTCCACCAGATTTAAGTGACCCCCCCCCCCACCATCATCTTACCTATAAATAGGACCAAACGTCTTAAACTTGTCCACCATGATGTTGTGAAGATTGTGGAAACCATCGTCCTTCCAGAATTGATAAAGATTAAACCATCTGGTTTTCCAATTTCCTGGCAAATCGCTGAATGGCTTCAGTGCGCTTTCCTGGCCTGGAGCTGAAGGCATCTCTCTGGAAGCTGTGTGGAGTTGGAGAATGCCAGGGCTGGATGCATCTTCAGGGCAGAATAGGGCCCGTAAAGGATTGGAGGTGCCCAAAGAAGGAATTAAAGGATGGGATCTGAGCAGCATTGCCACACCAAAGGAGGAGGGGGGGAAATGGGAAAAAAAGAGGGAGGGGAGTCAGAAATCAACCCTGGAGGCAAAAAAAATCCTTGAAAATGATAGAAGACCTCCAAAACTCAAAGTTTTATAGTCGAGGAATGGCTTGTTCAAGGATGAAGATTGTCCAATCAGATCCACTCTGAAATCCTAGCCTATCTGTTCATTGCGTTTTTCAAAACATATAAACACAGCTTCATGCACACACTAACCCAAGCCTACATCACAAGGAGACTTGTTACCTTTAGAGCTTTTGTTAAGGTTAAGGTTTTGTTTTTGTTTTCTCCAGTGCAAAAACTTTCTATTTTCAATCATCCAAATAAATAAGTAAGGCAGGCTTAAACCAGTAAAGCCTT